AAATAAAAATTATTCATTCAATAAATGTTATATAAATAATTTAATATTGTAATATTGAAAGTTTCATTTTCATATATATAAAATTAATCATTTTGAAAGAAAAAAATTACATAATTGCATACTTTTTTAGTTATAAGTTCATAATTAAAATAACATAAATCATACATAATTAAATTTAAATATCACCAAAAACATTAACCAAACAAAATATCTCATTAATCTTAATTAAAATACTTTAATATAATTTTTCTTTTATTTTTTAAGGCCCGACTAGGCTTGACCCTCGGCCTAGGCCCTAGGCTCTATTATGAGTGGGCTTGCACTTGGGTCTGGCGAGTACTTTTCGGCCCATGGGCCAGCCTTCTTCAAGAGGTGCAGGAAGTTCACGCCGGCAAAGAAATCCGAAAATGTGGCTGCTACCTCCATTTACTTATGACTACAAGAGCGAAAAGTACTCGAGTCCGAAGGATTATTATGCTGGTATCTGAGCAGAATGGGCGTTCAGGGTAACAGAGCAAGAAGGATTGTTTAATGATCTACATAACTTTGGGGCACCAGTACCTCATCGTCGTTCATTGACCATGGCTAGACGAAATGTGAGTGACTATGAAAAACAGTTAGCAGGATTAAGAATGAGAACAATAAAATGTTGATACGGAGATGTCGATATTTCATGCTTCAGCTAGCCACCGAAATGGCAGAAGCAAGCAACAGAGATTTGATAGTGATTAAGCAAAATAATGTCTTAAATAATGAAAAATATCTCTCTGACTACTACATGTCAGTTGAGGAATAAGAAATCAAACACCTTTATCTTTCATATATGTTTGTATGTTTTCTCATATCTTCGTTACTGGAGTGTAAGACAATGTTGTTGTTCATCTAACGTACGGATGTATTTCAAGTATTTTTTTTATGAACCTGAAGTTTATGAAATAACTATATTTATAACTGCACATTTATTAGTTCATGACTTTCTTTATTGAATTGCAATGAGTTAATGAATGTTCTGGATGAATGAATGGATTAATGTATGTTGAATTATGTAAATACTTAAAACACATAAAACAGAACAGGTAGCTCGGTGAAAAGCTTCCCTTAACTGGGGCTCGTGAAATAGGGATCCTGTACGTAAAGAATGTCAATCTCCATCAGGAAAGAAGAAAGAGTCGCCTTTCAATTCTTGGAAGTCCAGTCAAAATGATGACTCTTGTAAGGAATGGGGGGTTAACAGATAACTAAACTTGGGGGGCTGGACAAACAAGCTCAAAGCCAAGTGGTTGGTCCAGTTGGGGGACTAATAAAGTTCATACAAACAAACTACCGCCTTCAACAACACATTAAACAAAACAGCTAGCTCGGTGAAAAGCTTCCCTTAACTGGGGCTCGTGAAATAGGGATCCTGTACGTAAAGAATTTCAATCTCTATCAGAAAAGAAGAAAGAGTTGCCTTCCAATTCCTGGAAGTCTAGTCAAAATGATGACTCTTGTAAGGAATGGGGGGTTGACAGATAACTAAACTTGGAGGGCTGAACAAACAAGCTCAAAGCCAAGTGGTTGGTCCAGTTTGGGGACTAATAAAGTTCATACAAACGAACTACCGCCTTCAACAACACATAAAACAAAATAGGTAGCTCGGTGAAAAGCTTTCCTTAACTAGGGCTCGTGAAATAGGGATCCTGTACGTAAAGAATTTCAATCTCCATCAGAAAAAAAGAAAGAGTTGCCTTCCAATTCCTGGAAGTCCAGTCAAAATGATGACTCTTGTAAGGAATGGAGGGCTGACAGATAACTAAACTTGAGGTGTTGGACAAACAAGCTCAAAGCCAAGTGGTTGGTCCAGTTGGGGGACTAATAAAGTTCATACAAACGAACTACCGCCTTCAACAACACATAAAACAAAATAGGTAGCTCGATGAAAAGCTTCCCTTAACTGGGGCTCGTGAAATAGAGATCTTGTACGTAAAGAATTTCAATCTCCATCAGAAAAGAAGAAAGAGTCGCCTTCCAATTCTCTCTCCTGTCTGAAAATATTCTTAACTGTTAAATCATAGAAAAATTTTAAAGCACAAAACTATCAAAACATAATTTCATGACTACGAATCTGACTAATAAAAAGTCCCTTAGTATACTAATGGTTTTGTTCCAAAATTTCTCTTTCAAAATACTCATAACCGTTAAATCATATAAAAATTTCAAAATACAAGAATATCAAAAAATAATTTCATGGTTATGAATGTTTTGAAATAGAAGATCAGATGAATTTGAGACAGATCCCTCTTCTGGATTCTAGTTCCTTCATCCAGATTGGGAGAGTTATCACATATTGTTGTGTAGCCCATTGCCGATTGACAACAACGTGCACTTGTACAAACTACACGCGCGAAGAAAAAGTAGGGAATCAACAAGAAGGTGAACTCATTCTTCTTCTACCAAGATGAACATCAAGTGCAACTGTGGATATCGAAGAGGATAGAAAGGAATCGGAATCTGATTGAAAACTGTTTCCTCTTGTACATTCTGTCTTATACTTCATATACACATCATAATCATATCTACACTTTCGATAACGAAAAACAGTTACCTAAATTATGCATGGAGATTTTGCAACAACCACTTTTTTCGATGCAGGATGTCCATCTTCACAAACGCCTTCGCTTTTTTCTCATCTTCCAAAAGATCACAACCATCCAAGAAGAGTTCATCATGCATGTCAGGTATGGCTTGAAGTGCATCAACAATGCTTTCTATTGAGCTATAGTTCCTGTCCACTGTATTACTTCTACCTGCTTTTTGCAACTCCTCCCTGGTTTTCTTGATTTTTCTCCCACGTGTTGAACTTAACGGTGTGGTGGATTGGCGTCTTTTTCTCCCATTAGACACTTCATTATCAATAGCTGGGGACTTTAGGGCTCCAAATATGCCATCCATCCCCATTTCCAGGGCATTATCATCAATATTCATTTCTGGACACAGATAACTTGACGTTCCATCATGGATCTCATCTCCAAAAATAATGCTCAAATCACAGTAATTCTCCAATATTATATCTTTGTATGCTACAGCGTCGGGATGTTCCTGCAAATCATCATAGTGACAAATTAACTATCAATTAGCAATGTAAAGTCCAAGCAATTGGAATGGGTGTTTCTAATACCCTACTTCACAGAACTGGCATCAGTAAATCACTCTTTGTTAGATGGTGCAATATCAGCACTTCATCAAAAGTAAAGGTACTTTTCAAATAATATACAAGGTCCATGTCATAGTAGCAGGAAAGTTGTACTTGGGCTACATTTCTTGCTTAGAAACGTGATTCCGCGCTCCCCAAGTAAAAAACTCGTAAGAAACTCAATCCCATCAAGAAAGAGACTCCATCCGAGCTAAGATAAAACCTCTCAAATATATAAATCTCACATAAATAAAAGAAAAACAACTCAAACTTAGTAGTTCCTATTTATATAGTTACTTATACTTAACAAAGATAATTTATAGTTGACATCAATCTCTAATGTTTATTCATATTTTAACACATATCACAACTATGTAGAGAGAGGAAAAAAAAATGTTAAAATCTATTCAATATATAAAATATACATGCTCCCATAGGCGCTCCCAACCTTAGAAACTTCTATATTCCCTAACTCCCCCAACCCCGCTTCCTGCAACTAAGGTCCATGTTATTTTGAGTTGAAGTCATTAATAATTACATGAACAATAAAACAAGGAAACAGTCTTTGATTTGCCAATTCAGTCATACACATGAAAGAAATTCACCTCAATATAAGCTTCCCAATAATCATCATCAGCTGTGACTTTTTGTTCTATTTCGTCCCATGCAAAGCCATTCTTGTTGAGAAGAGTGCTGATGTCGTCATACTGTTTCATCAAGCTTAGGTACCGATTTTCCAGTACACATTTGTCAAACTGAAGTCCAAATTTCTCATTGAATGATGTGATCATGCAGACCCAAGCTTGCTTATTGAAGATATTTTCAACTCTATTCCCTTCAAACACCTGTCCTAACATGAGTTCAATGAAATATCTGTCCATTGGCTTTGTCCAAGCAATGCTCAAAGTATCACTACCGGAAGAGGATTGGTCATCTTCCTGATCTACACATTGAGAAAACCATCAGTCACAAGACACCATGTAGCTGCCTTGGATACCATGACTATTTGCATTATGCATAATATAGCAATATAGATAACTCCATTTTTCCAACATCCTGCAGAATTCTTTTTTTATTTCTTTATTTTCGTTTTACCTCTTTTTTTCATGCACGGTAAGAAAGGGAGGGAATATCAGTAAATAGAATATCATGAAAAGGTGAAACAACTCAAGTACACACAATTTATAGAACAAAACTCTATGCGCCTATACAGCTAAAAGATTCCAAATTCTATACAAAATCCAAAAAAGTCTAGATGGGAAATTATAAAGCACCGACACTTCAAAATAAGTCATAGTCACATCTGACATGGGGACACAGCGGGGACATGGTGGGGACATGTATGGAACACGCCACGTGGCGTGTCCCTTTAATTCTTTTTTTTCACAAATTATGCCGGGGACACACCAATTAGTTTTTTTCTCCCCATTCTTTAGAGCTTTTGATGGATGTTGGATTGTTTTTTTTTGCTTAGATTTAAATACTTAATAGATCATCTATAAAAAAAAAGAACTAATTTTTGTTAATTTTAATTGTTTGTGAATGTAATATTAATCTACATAGGAAATAAAAATATATGAAAAATTATTTTACTGTCGTGTTGCCGCCGTATCCGTATCTCCATTTTTTTGAAATTACCGTGTCCCGTGTTTGTGCTTCTTAGATGGGATCAATTCCCTTCGCTCATCACTCAACTATGTAATAAATTCCAAATAAATACAACATAACCAATCACATTACTAAGATTAGGAAGACATTGTAATACCAATATTATATATATATCATTCACATGCAGCTTCCAAGATAAACAATTAGATCAATCATACTAGCAAATAAACAATAATCACACTTGTGCTTAAAGCATATAGACAGAGCTATAGTCCATATTTATGATCATTGTCACCATTCTCGTCATGGTTCACCAATATAAAGACAACAGTTGTGGTTCACACAAATCAAGCAAGGAGAGAGAGAGAGAGAGAGAGCTCACAAATGTTTACTTTTGGGGCACCATCATCAATATTGGTACAATGACTTGCATGGTCACTCCTTCCATTAGTGCTTGTATTTCCAAATATCAGAAACAAATCATTATAGTTTGGGAGAGTTCTACTTCGGAATGATTGTGCATCAGGACGCTCCTGGTTATGAAGAATGTAAGCTACTACAAACTAAAATCTTACATGTTATGAATGTCATTAGAGAACTATACTGAAATATGCACCTTGATATAAGCATCCCAGATATCATCACCAGCTGTCACCATCTGTTGCATTTCATCCCATGCAAACCCACTCTGATCAACAAGAGTTCGCATATCATGGAATAGATTCCTCATTTTCTCAAAACGACTTTCCAGAACGTCTTTGTGGTGCTTAGACCCAAATTTTGCAACAAACTTCACCACCATATCACCCCAAGCTTGTTTGTTGAAATTTTGATCAATCATATTCCCTTTACGGATCTGCTCTAGCATTAAATCGATAAAATATCTGTCCATAGGTGCTGTCCAACCAGACCTCAGACAACTGCCGTTTTGGGATGCTTGAAAATCCCTTCCTTCAACAAATTAGAGAAGAACATGAGATAAAAATAATAGAATATATTCATCAAAACCCATTGAACTTTTATTTCACAAAGAAAAAATATATGCATCATTCATTTAGGGCAATCTATGCAATTTAAATTATTAATCACAGGTTCAAAAGTTGTCCAATCCTGAGAACATTTTTCACTAAATCATGTTGACACAATGGTGATAAAAAAAGAAAAAATAATAATAATTCCTTAAATCTCATCAGAATAAAAACTAACCATCACCATTGAAGCCCACATATGGATCTGATTGGTTCCATCTTCCTTCAGAAGTCAAATTTCCATAAACCAAGCATAAATCATTATAATTTGGCATTGTTTTTGTTCTGAATGATGTTCCATCTGGGTTCTCCTATAAACAACATATGTAAGCCACTAGCAATTGGAACTCACATGTAAGAGTAAGACCCAAAGGAATAAGCAATTCACCTTGGTATAAGCATCCCAAACATCATCAGGTCCCGTGACCATTTGCCTTGATTCGTCCCAAGAAAATTCGCCCAGTTCAAGGAGATTCTTCATATCATGATATAACTTCTTCAAACTTTTATACTGACCCTTCAAAACATATTTGTCATGCTGTGATCCAAATCTATCATTGAATGCTGCCACAATATCCATCCATACTTGTTCGTCGAATATGTGATTTATGTTTTGCCCTTTATGCACTTGCTTTAACAGAAGGTCAATGAGACAGCGGTCCATTGAAGGTGTCCAATCTGTCCTTGAACAATCACTATCTGCGTTACAAAAATGTCCTTTCTTTTTAAATCAGAGACCCTGATATGAAAATACAATGATAGATCAATTTAATTCACAATGATTGCAGGCATGCACCTACTGCCAATCATACAAGCTAAAGTTACATGAATTAGCTTCATTTAGCTTTAGCCGATAGATTTTCAACTTAGTGAAAAAATTGGTAATTCAGAACTAGATGTGGTTGAGGAGCCAGTGTTTGAGAAGTATGGAAAAACTATGGCAACATTTCCTTCTTTTTCCTGAACCCCGCAAAAAAATGCCTTTTGTGAGATTTGTTAATAATTCAGACGATATAAGCAATATGTTCAGTATCAGAGAATAACAAGACTGGATCTATACCATCGAGGTCTTCACTGTGAGCCATATTGCTAGGTTTTCCATTAGAACCTTCCTCGCCATATATGACACATAATTTGTGGTAGCTTGGGACAGTTTTAAATTTATACAATTGAGCATCAGGATATGCCTGCACTGTAAAACATAAGCAATGAACTATCAAACAAAACATCACTCAGTAACAAGAAGCATGTGGATGGTGGTTCACCTTGGTATAAGAGTCCCAAACATACCCTTCAGCAGTAACCATTTCTTGGGTTTCATCCCAAGAAAACCCATTGTGATCAAGAAGAATCTTTAAGTCATTATATTGCTCCCTCAAATGTTTATAGCGACTTTTCAAGACCTCTTTATCATAGTGAGATCCAAATTTTGAATTGAATGACTTCACCATTTCATTCCAAGCCTGAGTTATGAATGCATGCCCAATTTTATTCCCTCTTAGCACCTGGTCCAGTAATAAGTCAATAAGATAATGGTCCATGGGTAGTGTCCAAAATGTCCTTGTACAGTTGCTGAAACTGGGAGCCTGGGCTTCCTTTCCTTCACCTAGATAAATAAAAGACGTGTAGATGATTAATTATTCATTCATGAGGTCATTCTTTGTCTCATTATATATATATAGGGCAAAATCCATTTTATCACTTGTGGCAGCGGCCCAGAGAACTTTTACTCCTTTTTCTTCTAAAAATAGTCACATGTCCCCCCATGTGATATTAGACTAAATTGCAACACTAACTCCATTAATGGTAGAGATAAAAAGACAAACCCTTATTCTTCTTTCTCTACTTCTCATTGTCTTCATAAAAAAAGAAATCAAATTGATCTCCAAACCCCCCCCCCCTTGATGGCATAATGATAAAGCTTCTAATGCATCTTATGTTTTTGCCAACATTTACTATCACGATAATTGCAAGCAAAAACATAGTGCAATCGTGTGACAACCGCCTCCTTAATTAAGCAAATTAATTAAATTGATTATGTGCTTATTGTTAATTATATGATTATATGTGATGAAGTGTTATTGTTATGCCATGTGAGTGTTTACATTACATTTGTCTGATTCGTTAATTTTAACAAGTTAGAATTAAATAATTGGATAGGAATTAGAGCCTAATTCACCCTAGTATAATTTAATTTAGTGTAATTAAGATTATAAGATGATGAGATTAATTTAATTTGAATCAAATTGATTTTAATTTATTTAGTCTAATTAATTTAAGTCCAATGCATTATACTCATTAATTGAATATAGGAGAAGTGTAGTGGCTTTTCTTACACTTTGATAGACCTACACGTAGAGAGAGAAGAGGGAGAGGCTTGGGATTTCAGCAACTTGTAGGAAGAGAAGAAAAGAAAAGAAGTTAGAAAAAGAGCATTGAAGCTAAGTTTGTTCATCAACTTAAGGTATGACTACCATTTAATTTTCTTGAAATTGAAACTCCTATACTCATCACCTTCAAACATATAAGGTTAATTAGGATGAATTCATGATTAATTGGGAGTTTATGGTGGTAATTGACCAATTAGAACATGCAAGTTAAACTAGAAAACACATTGTAGGAATTGACTTGAATTGGCATCATGCATGGCTTAATTCTTGAACAATTATGGTCATACATTCAATTTCTTGCATATATATAGGAGTTGAGAACTTGGATTCAAAATTTGCAAGCTTTATGAGAATATATATATATATATATATATTTCAATACTTGGAGTGAAATTGGAAGTGAGGAAATATGACCATATAAATAAAAGATTGGATGAGTGACTTCTTAAAACTTAACATGCATGGCATGAGTTTCATGAAAATTGTTTTCACACATTTAAATTCATGTACGGTTCTTCAAATGAGGAGGAATTTCATGGAATTGAAGATTTAAAACCCAAACTTGTATGTTTATGTGTTTATACTTCATTTTCAAGGTTTGATTTCTTTTTGACAATTCGGTCATTATTTCCAAGTTTTGATTTGTGTTCCATGGTCAAGATTCAAGGCCTAACATGTTTCTACGAATTTTGGTAATGAATTACATGAAAATAAACTTGATTTTGCAAGGAAACACACGGCTCAAACAGAGCAGTTTTCGGATAGTTTTTTTGCAATAGCCCCGTACGTGCAGAAAACAGGGCAATTTTGTGGAGCATTTTACTTAAATTGCAGGTGCGGGAGGTAGGTGCGGAGGTGGCCCCGCACGTGCGGCAGTTAGGCTAATCCAGGTTTTGTTTTTTGCTCCTCTTTTCCACCTTCCAGGCCTCCGTTTGCACGGTTTTAAAGTGTTTTCATAATCATTTGCATCTCATGTGTGCATTAGAATGAATGAAAGATTAGAACCGAACGAGGATAGATGAATAGTAATTGAACAAGTAAATAATCGAATCAATGGTATTGACCAAGGATTGAATATAATTGTATCGTTGTGCTTGACTTTATTTGTTTAGGTCGGACGTCGAACCAATAGTACGTGTATCGAGAAGCCCACTGTGAATAACAATGTTGTAAAGATATGTTCTTAATTGTATTTATTTTCTGAACGATAACTTATATTGTTTCTAAATGGTTACTTTCTATCGATTGAATGATGATTCTCTTTTGAATTGTACTCGTGGCATCCATAGCTTATTGTTATTGTTATCGTTATCGTTATCGTTATTGATATCGCTATTGTTACAAAGATCTTTGTCAGTTCCAAATCTTGGAACTATTGTTATTATATGATGGCCATCAATTGATTGTTCGGTCTTTAAGACCTATTGTATTGTATTGTTGCTATGAGATGTACCACGTATGACCTATATGAATATGAATATGATTGAAAATGATTGATTGATTCGAATGATTGAACAGTTGACTGACAAAGGATATTGATTGAATTCGATTGTTTTAAAGATCGTAAGGACGTCATTCTTAACCTCTTTACACATTCGTTATTAATTGGGCTTTCGCTCAGTTTATTATGTATATGTAGGTGACCGAGGATCGGACCAAAGCTAGTGGCACCGACCCGAACCTTTGTTTTGTCAAGCCAGCTATTGTGCCTCATAGCGAGGTTTCGAACCTTCTTGCGTCAAGGCTTTTTGGATGGTTCAAATCCACCCTTTTGATTTTGCTAAGTGTAAAGAATGTTTAAGAGTTTCGTTTATATTGTCTTTGATGATGGGATTAATTCCCTAACTTGCGTATTATCTTTTATATATATGATTATGGCATAAGTGGTTATGAATATGACTATGTATATAAAAGTTTATTCTCATTCAGGTCCTCATCACAGCTCATTGGATATTCTCTTTTTATTGATTGGCTTCCGCCAGCCCCCTCTATATTGTAATATGGTCATTATTGTTAAACAGGCATTTGGTAATCACGGGTTACAGGCTGGTTACGGCACTAAACCTATAGGGCGGGTTTGGGTCGTGACAAGTTGGTTCCAAAATTGTACCAAAACTGTGTTAGTTAACATCTTAGACACCATTGTAGAAAACATGTTAAACAAGATCCCTTTTTGGTTTAGATTTTAAAACTTCCATCTCACTCTTCCTCCTACAAAAAAATAAAATAAAATAATAATAATAATAATAATAACAAATAAATAAAATAAACTTCCTATTGAAAAAACTATCATGAAGTAAAAACACAATAATCACACAGAGTGAATCCCAAAATAAATGGCATAACTATTAATATTGCTTGAAATCCTTCAAAATCCTACCTATGATACAAGACGAAGATTTATTAAGTCCATTTACATGTGCTATTGATGGAGTAGTATAACAGCCAACTATTTAATACATTCAAAAAACTCAGCTTGTGAGAATTTCTCATATAACAAAAGGGTGACCTCTTCATTTCAATGCCATTTCCAGTGTACACCTATTCATGTCATCATCCCAGTTGGTGACAAAGTCTTTACCTCCGACTGGTGAGGCAATTGTACAGGATCAACAAATTTATGAAGCGTAAAGTGTGGCCAGTGCACAAATGGTGTAGTGGATTCATAATGGGGTTCGGATGTGAAGGCAGGGAAAGTCCATGTCCCAAGTTCATTCTCATATACCAAAAAAGTGAGAGGAGGTGGGTGACAATCTCCTTCTTCAAGAATGAAAGGAAAAGTATCGACCATCTCTTTCTTCGTTGTCCTGTGCGCCTCAGGAGAACAAATTATAGAGCCTGATGAGCTTAGCTTGATTTTTAGCGCTATGTGGGTGACAACCATGTTCAGTCGTGGATGTTCTTGCTAGTTGGAATTCTTACAATCCCAAGAGGTTAGAGAAAACAGATTAGCAGACTATTGTGTCATGTATGTTATGAACTATCTAGAGGGAACAAAATAGAAGGTCTTTTGAGGACACCAAACTTCCTATTCATATCTTGATGAGATCTTTGTTCCTTTCTCTATTATTTTGGATGAGACAAAACTACCATTTCTCGATTTTGTCTTTTGTGCAGTTCATAGGTGACTTGTATATCCCAATGGATGTATAGCTTTAACCTATGTTTTTGCTTAGCTAGTTGATGTATGTAGCTGTGTGAGGGTAGAATGTTTGCCCCCTCTAAGGCACTCTTTCTTATTATAGAATCATATTTATCAAAATAAAATTAAAAAAAAAAATCTAGCATGACTAATTTCTCCAGAATATAAAATTTAAGTCAACTAGAACAGTGGACACATTTATGATAAAGCCATAGAATATCATTATATCAAACATAGCAAAGCAGATGATCACCGTACAAAAGTTCACAGTTCATTCAAAACTATTGTTACATCATCATGTAACAGACCTCAGTCTTGCCAATTATTAAAGCAACTACAGGGCACCACATTATCAACCTAGATTTAAACAAATGTTAACTTGGTGACATATACCACACCAGCAATAGCTTCTAAGATGTCATCTTCGAGATTGTCTTCTTTCACAATTGACTACATATTCTGCATAACGTTGTGAGTCCTAAATTGTGGACATAATGTGACTTCATATTTGTCCAAAATTTAAGAACTTGATAGGGAATTGAATTCTGTCAATTTGTGCTCAGGTCATAAATAGTTAATATGGTCATTAATAACAATAAAAATTGATTAAATAAACAATAAAATGAAACATTATCACGGTTGGGGTTGTCAAACCTAATAAATTGACGAACTTAACCAATAAAATGCATTTCAATTGACAATGGCAATTCATTCACAATTGAAACCTTATATCATGCCCATGATAGGAATAGAAACAAACCAATATTTAGTCCTTGGATTTCATCATCAAAGTCTATATCATGACTTGAACGACTGTATCTTCCATCTGCAGTTGCATACGCATATATCAAGCACAAATCACTGAAGTTCATAAGAGGTTTATTCCTGTAATATTGTGCATCTGAATGGGCCTGCATCCAATCAAGTTATATTACTAGCCAGCAAGGGCCGATAAATTAAAACAAAGAGACAATGCACCTTAGTGTAAGTATCCCAAACATAATCCTCAGCTACTACCATTTGTTGAGTATCATCCCACGAAAATCCACTCTGGTCAAGCAGATTCTTGACATCATTAAATTGTTTCCACAAAGTACTGTAACGATTCTTCAAAATATCCTTATCATGCTGAGTTCCAAATTTTGCACTGAACATGCTAAGCATATCAGCTCATGCTCGTTTGTTGAAAGTATGTCCAACTCTGTTACCCCTATGCATATGATCTAACATAAGATCAATAAAGTAGTGTTCCATTGCTGGAGTCCAATATGTTCTTAAACGCTCACTGCTCATGGGTGTCTGGCAACCCATTCCTTCAAGAAACTGAAGCAATAATCATAACTGTTACGTTGTTTAAACATATAATGCTTCTTATATGTACAGAATAGGTCTACAAACCACTAATCATGATGTCAAAATTTCTAGAATGAAGATTACAAAAACCCAGGCCACAAAAGATCATACAATTACTTAAAAACCTTAAAACTATTATTCAAAAAAATATTGCTCACAATGCATCTAAGAATGTGTAAAAGAGACAAGTTCAAGCTAATACCATCATCATTAACGACATAATATCAACATTAATTCTTCAAAACCGTTGACATATATCATGTCTTCAATAGATGTAATTCTTAGGTAGCATTGCAATAAACAACTCAAAGACAAGTAACCTATAAAACCTTCAATGATGAGCAAAATGAGCTTAGCTAACAATAAAGGAAATTAGTCAGAATTTTGTGATGCAAGACTAAGTGAACACTTCATCAATAAATAGATAACATGAATTCTTAATCATAGATTAAACTAATCAATCTAGATTAGTCGAATCTTACACTGAGCCTGAAATCATATACCAAAATTCAAACCTACTGCATACACATAAAGTTGAACAGAAATAACTTGACAATTTCAATGCAGTTTTTAAATAGATCATGAAAAAATCTCTCATACTACACCCATAGTCACCTACTCACCTCATTGGGACCTATTATGTATACTTTTTTTGTTATATTGGTTTATTTAATATCTTTATTCTCTTGTGCTCCACAGTGGTGGCTCCAGAAATTTTTGTTGATGGGATCAAGTTAAAACTTAAACTCAAATTCTCACTTCATAAAAATTAAAATAAAAATAAAAATTGAAAAATAATAATAATACATTGATGCTTTGTTTTTCACCAAAAAACACAAATTATGTACTTCTACAATTGTTCACAACAAAGTCCTATATTTTAGAATCAATGTGTAATAACCTCATTACCAATATAATAAAATATATCTTTTGCAATGTAGTTCACCAAATAATCATTCATTCACTAATTTTTTATTCAATTACAAAATCGACTCTATAATTTTTATTGTTAAAAAAGCTCTTTCTATTGTTTTCAATGTGACCTAGAAAAACTAATGTTAATTTCACAAACAAGTAGACCAATGGATATATGATAGGTACCAAAATGTATACATTCAAGCTCCCTAAACTACACTTGTTAAGTCCGTAACAACGGATTGGTGCGTTGTGCAGGTTATTCAAGTCCTTGTAAAGAAAGTGAGCTTAAATGAAAAGATTGAAGGTCCGCAAGATGGGACCAAACAAAGCAAGAAGGAGAGCGCTGAATGTTGAGGTGTGCCTGAGCGTAGTTCATGGTGAGCCCAGGCGCACAGTAGTGAAGCTATTGTCCGAGTGAGCCCGGGTGCACAACGCGCTAAAAAGTTTGAAAATTTAAGTCTTTATGCTCATTTTGAGCCCATTCGAACCCTGATCGATATGAAACTATAAAAGGATAACTTAGCCTTCAAGAAAAGGGATCTTCAATCATTGAAAGATGGCACAAGAGGCAAGAGGCAAGAGGCAAGAGGAAGGAAACCCAAGGTTCCAAGGAAAGAGTTCTCCACATTCATGGCGTTCTTCACCTTCTCCATGGGCAACTAATCTTATTCCTTAGGGTGTAGATGAAACACTAGCCAAGTAACTTTGGTGTGTTGTATTTTACTTTGGGATTCATTATTAATACAATGATTGTGTAATTCTGAGACAATTTTCTATTCAATTGAATTCATTCTTCCAATCTTCTTTGATATATTTAATTTATGTGATTTTAAATAAATGGGTACACCATGGTAATCTTTTTGCATGCATTTGAGAGTTAAGATAACTATTGCCTGTAGAAGACGAGACGTCTTGCAATCCTAGTTTAGTGTAAACGTTTCGTACTAATTTAAGATAAGTTATGCATGATTCTTAAATCAAAAAATTCTCTTGAAGACAACGTTAGGGCTTGTAGCCACAACAGATCACTATAGTATTAAGCAATCAATTCCCGAATTGATACGATGATTATTGTTATGCAGGTAGTGGTGAATTCAAATCCCCAACTCTTTTCATATTGAATTTAACTTTTGCTTTTAATTACTTTTCATATTTTATTATATAAAATCTCAATATCTTTAGAATTAATTTAAGAACAAATTTTTAGATTTAAAGTAACTCAGCCTTTCAATCCCTGAGGATCGATAACTGAACTTGCCATTATTTTACTGAATTAGGGTATAATTTAGTGTTTTAGTTTTTGTTGTAAACAACACAATCAATATACAATATATATCTTCATCTCCCCAACTTTATACTAAAATCTCCAATTCTCTTTAGTTCTAAAAACTCATTGTTGGAGTGTATAGCATATCAATATATAAATATAAAGTTGTTAAGTATACTAGTAGAGTGGGTTCAATCTTTTAAGCATGGGGTCAAATTTAGATCAAACTATTTTCTTTTATTACAATGGATAATAATATTTCATTTTTTTTAAATATTTTAAAAGCGTTTGATGTGGTCAATTGACATTGCCGCCTTGTCCTCGTGTCCGACACCCCTATGGCACTTGTTTTGAAGTGTCGGTACTTTATAGATCTTAAGATTTGATTTAAATTGCTAGGTCAAATCTCATATTGTAATGAATGTTTAGAAAATCTCATGATTGACGATTCATCACTGATTCATGCAATTAAGGTGTTTTTAAATCTCAACAATCATAAAAGAATTTTTTTTTTTTTAGCTTTCTCAGCAACCATAACTTATTTATTTATTTTTAGCTTTCCTCCCTCAGAAACAAACTTCTGAGGAAAAAAAATTTAAGGCCCTTATGGTTAAAATATATACATATATATTCCGCCTTTCTCACTCCCCCCGCCCCTCCCTTTTGTTTATGTTATATACCATTGGAGATCTATAATGTTATCATTAAATATATAAACATTCACTTTTTTCAAAGTCTACAAAACTCTAAATAAAAATTAACTTTTCTGTATTTTTTATGGGCAAAGAGAATTTCTTATTTCATTTTCTTTAAACGAGAAAACAAGCAAAAGAACTCTAAAGATGACAAGGATTGGAGTCTGAATATCAATGAGCAAAAAGTAACTACAATTGTATATATGTATATAACTATTAGAATCAAGACTCTATTTGGTATAGATTCCAAGAGGTGATTATAGCTTATTTTAATTTGGGGGTCTTGTATCAGACGGTTTGGTGCAACTTATGTTTATATCTTATTAGGCAAAAATAACTTAAATAAGCTGAAAAAAACTAATTATTTAAAAGTTTGGGAAGAGGTGCTTTTAGCTTCACCTTTCTAATTATCAGATTTTAGCTTAAAAAAAAGCTCTACCAAACGGGGCCAAAATCTCAACCAGCAAACTACTTGAGGATAGATTCATTTTCAAGATCATAGCACAAAATGTAAAATCCAACGTAGGATTAAATGACAAAAAACATATTCACAACCATAGCTCAAAATGCAGAGTTGTTTCATTCAGAACCCAAGTGAAACAAGGCCTCAGGCATGTTAATATAAAATCCGAAACTCGTATCAATTACATGTAGCACACTAAATATTCAGAAAACCAGTGCATCACAATGAGATGAACACTGAAGAAATGCCAATTACGAAAAGAAGGAGAGAGCAACAGATTAAATTCCACAAGTTAATTACAAAGAGAAACAGCAACAAAGAAAAGATCATATCTCAGGGCTACCCACAGTCAGTATAAACATACAAATAATTAGGGACATCTACAGAACCAAGTTAGGACATCATCATCATTCCTGAATTGATTCTTATACCCAATTTACTTGTCATGCAGCTTTTGTGTAATCTCTGTTTAGAGATAAAAATCCATAAATTAAAAATTAAAAATAAAAACATAAAAACCATTGAGGTGAGCTTGAGAATAGAATTCAGGCACAAAAAAAAAAAAAAAAACAACAAAATGAATAAGAATTGAAATACTTGACAAATAAAGGAAAGAAGAAACCCTACCGAGAGAGAGAGAGAGAGAGAGGCGAGATTAGGGTTTCAGTACCTGGAGTTCGGTTCCAAATAGGTGGAGTATAACCGGTGTATCCGCCGGAGTAGTGAGAACTGAGAAGTGTGATGATGGCCCAAGACACAAATGGCCAATGAAGGCACTCTCTTTGTCAAATAAATAAATAAATAAGATAAATTATACTTAATTCTTTTATATTTAAAAAAAATACAATGAATCAGCTTGCTTGGTTTGAGTTTTTTAAATTTATTTTCAAAAATTTATTTTTTTTAATTTATATTAAAATTTTTTAATTTTTAGATATACTTAACATAAATACATTTAAAAAGTATAATATTTATTAAAAAAATCTTTAAAAAACTCACTAAATATCAAAAATACAATATACATATATATATATATATGAAAATTTAATACATTCTTCATAGGGAATTTTTTTTAAAGGTCCTTAATATTAAGATGTTATAGCATAAATGACATTTAATATTTTCATAATGTTTAAGGTCCCTCAACATTAATCCAGAGAAATTCTCTGGACTTCCCGTAGAACTTCTCTTCAGACATCTAGAGAAAATTCAGATAGTTCAGAGAAAATTCACACAATTCAGGAAACTCTGCATCATCTTGCATTTTATATGTTCTCTTACAAATATCTTTTCATGGAGAGTTGCCATCAAAATTCTATTTACTAATCACAGTGCTCCTTGTAGGTCAAGTCCAACAAGATGAGATGGTTGACAGACAAGAAAGAGAAGAAGTCATTGGGTGAGCTTGAATAAGAATTTCTTCAAGCACTACAAGTAATAAAACAGATTATTTTTAGTTTGTTTTGTTTTTTTAAATACACAAATTTCTTATGTTTTAGAATTCTGCTCAGACTACGGTTCTACAGTGATTAAAATACTTCTGATTGTCCTACTGATTGTAGAATCAAAAGTATTATGCAGCGTTCTACGTTTGGAAAAAAAAAAAAAAAAGAGTAATGATCTAAAGAAAATTCACATATTCAGAGAAAATTCATACATCCAGAGAAAATTGACAAGTCCAGAGAAAATTCACAAGTCCAGAGAAATTCACACATCCAGAGAAAATTTACGCATTCCAGAGAAAAATCACATAGTCTAGAGAAAATTCAATTTGATTTCCTGACATACTCGACATGATTTGAACAACTTAATTGATATTACTTTCATGTCTGTTCACTTTTCAATTAAAAAATTTGCAATATAAAATTGGGATCTTGGATGTCTCATTTTTTGTAGATAATATGACATTCATCAAAGTAAATAAACAAGCAGAAAGCTATTGGCATGAGAAAGCTTTGTACCTACATGTTATGTATATATTGAGAAAGTTGCTTTTTGTTTCTACATGATTTGCAGTCCCAAAACCCCAGCTAGACACATATGTCATCTGTAGATTTTGGGGAAAAAAGAGTAATGATCCAAAGAAAATTCACAATCTAGAGAAATTTCACAGTCCAAAGAAAATTCACACATCCAGAGAAAATTTACACAGTCCAGAGAAAAATCACACAGTCCAGAGAAAATTCAATCTAATTTATTTGAATTAGCTAACTGCTCGTTTGAAGTACCTTGTCTGCTGAGCCCAGATGTTTTATTAGCCACAATAGTATTACTTTGAACTAGGCTGTTCACGAGTCGAGTCGGTTCTAGTTTGCTGCTCAATCATTAACCGAACCGACATCTTCGAATGAGAAAAAGAAACATCCGATTCCGACCAAGTATTGTTCAAAATCATAGAGTATCGAGCCACTGTTTTCACGGTCGGATTCAGTCGACGGGCAATAAAGAGGACACATACAGACGAGCGACAAAATTTAAGGGTCGATTGGTTAGGGGGTTAGTAGCATTACACATAACCCTCGTTGATATACTCGAGGGAGATTTGAGAGAAGAATAAGAGGTTGGAAGATCTGAGAGAGGAGTGACAAAGATCTGATAAGGTCAAAGGGTGAAAAGAAATACCAGAAAAAATATGAATAGGGACATGGTAAAGTAACCGTTGTAGCAGCAATGGTTGTGATCTCTGTTGATTCAGTAGAGATAGATAAACAAATAAAAAATACAATGAGAGAGAGAGAGAGAGAGCATCCGTGTCTCACAAAAGAAAGGAAATGGATGAAAATAAATGAACAAAATGAGATAGAAAGAATGAGAAGACAGAAAAAAAGAATATAAAAATAAAATAAAAATGAAAAGAGTTAAAGTTAGCACCCTGACCAAGAAAGGCTAGCTCTTTCGTCAAGAAGTTTGAAGACTCATAAAAAATAAATAAAAAATAAGAGTTATCTCTAGGGAGTGATAGAGTGTAATTAATGCGATAGAGAGTCAGATATTATAATAGGAGAGGGAAAATGTGTTAGTGTGCATGGAGTAGTTGGTGAACAAATTTCTAGACTTGAGATAAGGATAGTAATAGATTTGCAGAAAGTAACATGAAACGTCACCAACCCGTGGAGGTAATGTATATACACTTGTATATTATATCGGTCGAGTCGGTTTTTTTCGATTTTATTTCAAACAAATTCAATACCGACTGCCAATCTATAAAAATTAAAAGTACAAACTGCAGCCGATCGCAGTATCATTCGAAATTGTCCGTTCAATATTGGTTCAAGTCGGTCCGGGCGGGTTGATTGGATTAGACGGGTTGCTGAACAGCCTACTTTAAACGTTTCCAAGTTGACGAGTGTTATGTAAGGTATCACTTTTACATGCAGTATGTGTTAAATTCAATATATAGACAAATAGAGAAAATAAATTGTATGTATCTTGATTGTGTGTTACAAAGGTTCAGTTGAATTCCTCTATATAGGAGAGGAGCCGAAAGTGGCACTAATAAAGTAAAGTAAAAGGAAAGGAAATATACCTTACTAACAGCTGATGTACACTAACATCCCCCATCAAACTCAAGGAGGATAGATACAAACTAACTTGAGTTTGGAGAGAGTAACAAAATATGAAAATAAACTAAAAATAAAATAGGATAGGAGACACTATATGGTTGTGTCAGACCGTTAGTGAAGATACTGTATGGTCATGTCAGACCGTTGTAAAAGCTAACTAGAATCAATGTCGAGACAGTTTATAGGGTCATGCCGGACCGATGTAGCAGACACTGTGTAGTCATGTCAGACCGTTATAGAAGCTAATCGGAATCAATGTCGGGACAGTTTACGGGGTCATGCCAGACCATTGTAGAAGCTAACCGGAATCAATGTCGGGATAGTTTACGGGATCATGCCGGACCGATGTAGCAGACACTGTGTGGTCGTGTCAAACCGTTGTAGGAGCTAACCGCAATCAATGTCGGGACAGTTTACGAGGTCATGCCAGACCGTTGTAGCAGACACTGTAGGCTGCCCAAAGAAATACATATATATATAGCGCTCTCAAAAGTTGTGCCCTTAAAAGTCGCGCCCTCAAAAGACGCACCCAATACCTCAAAAGGCGTGCCTGACACTGTGGCATCGAGCGGCGCGCGATGCCTATGTCTGCCCTGGCTTGCGCTCTCGTTTTGTCGTCTGGCGTCGAGTGGCGCGCGATGCGTGTGTGAAACCAAGGCTGAGGCGGAGGCTGTGCAAACCAAACTAGTCTGAAACCTTTGAACATCTTCATTCTTAAACACTCTGCAACCAACCCTTTTTGACATTACCAGTCTTAAATCTCTGCTTCTCTGAAACACTCTGCAACCCTGCTTGTGCTACCTCTGATATAGCCTCTTCTTTCCCTGGTCCTCTTACCCTGTTTCCAGACCCGAATGATGCCACAATAGAAATGACCGGGTCTGGCGCCCTGAATTGCAACCAAGCGCTCTTGGACCAAGCGCCCCTGTTTTTGCTCTGTTGAACTTTCCTATGCTGTCTGTGGAACAAATAATGGCTACTCAATATGATATTGAGGCCAACCATTATACATTGAAGTTATGTGTGGAGACCATGACTGCGGTCACTAACTTGTCTCACCGGCTTCAGAATAGAACAAGTGAGGTACAACAGTTAAATGCCCAACTAGCTCTACTCTAGCGCATGTATAAGGATGTGCGAGCAGAGATATGTGTGCTGAAGGCAGAAAACAAGGAACTGAAACGGAAGGCCACCGTTATGTTTCGATTCGGAGGGCCGCCATATGCTGCGATTGAGGAGCAGCGAGGAGGCAACTTGCTTGGTGGTCTAGGAAGCACGGAGGCTGGGCAGTCACGGGACACCCAAGATAAAAGCAAGAAGAAGAAACCGGCAGCAGAGTAGAGAAGGGAAAGAAAAATCCCGCCTGTGGGTGTGGTTGTTTATGTATTTGTTTGTTTGTTTTTTTTGTGGTGTTGTAGAACTGTGAACGGAGTTGAGCCCCGATATGAATAAAACAATGGTGTTTGGCAAACCGAATGGCATGAATGGTACAAGTTGAGTAGAAAATCAGTTGGCGGGAATGTTTTATATATATATATATATATATATTTTAATGTGGAATGGAAAAAAGTAAGAAAAAAGGTTGAGCACCTCTGTAAAATCTGAATTTGGACAAAAGTGGGTGGATGGTATGGTGCAGAGTGGCATGTATTGGTGCCTGGCACCCTGTCCGAGAAGCATGCACTGGTGGGGCAAAAGTGGGTGGTGGATGTTTTGGGATAATATTTTATAATAGCATTGGAAGCTTTGTTGTGTTGTGTTTGGTGGTTGCTAAATTGATGGGCTGACATATGTCGGTATAATATATGATAATAGCATGGGTGGGGAACATGGGTTTGATTAAAGAAATAGCTATGATCAACATGGCAAGCAATGGCCCACCAAAAAGAGGCAACCTAGAGTCCAATTCTTTTCCCTTGGCATCTCCAAGTGCGAGCAATGCCGGTGAATCTTGTTGCAACGAGGGAGTTGGTAATCTGGGTTGAAAGTCATGCCAAGAAGAGAGAGGGAGAGCCGTGTGTTGCTCTGTGGTCATGCATGGCGACCGAGAGAGAGAGTTGATGAATGCATAGTTTGATTAGGCCTCAACACTCTCTGAGGAATCAAGCAACTTTAACTATAGAAAATCTGCACAAAAAACAAACCAAGAAATTTGATCATCTTGTTCTTGGACCTGCTGCTGGTGAGTTTTCAGAGGTCACCGACGCGTTCGGCTGACGGCGTGACGCTGAGATTTCATCGGTCTTGGAAGGGAAGGTCTTGAGATTGAGCTTTGAGGTTTGTTGTTTTAGCTCCTTCACGCGTTGAACCACTTTTGCAAGTAGCAAAGCTTTGTCTGTCTTGGAATTGCAGGGAAGGAGAGTTCGGAGTTTGTCGAGATGGGAATTGATCTTTTGATGACGGCGTTTCTCAGCTTCTTTGTGATTCTTGGAAGCAACCAGAGCACGTTCCTCTGCAGTAGTAGTAGTAGTGTCGTGAGAATTGAAAATTGTGACTTGAGACGGAGAAATGCTTAGAGAGCAGATTTGCCAATCTGGCGTTGTCGACGACGCAGACGGTGATGGTCCTCCGGCTGTGACCGGATCTGGTGATGTGATAGTGAAGTGTTGTTGAAGAATCTGCCATTGAAGAAGAAATTAAGGAAATTTGGGTTTGTCCGGCCGGCGGCCAAGGCGAGGTTACCGCCCGCCGGTGAAGCGGAATTACTAAGTTGTTAACCTAGCTCTGATACCATGTCAAATTCAATGTATAGACAAATAAAAAAAAATAAATTGTGTGTATCTTGATTGTGTATTACAAAGGTTCAGTTGAACTCCTCTATATAGGAGAGGAGCTGAAAGTGGCACTAATAAAGTGAAGTAAAAGGAAAGGAAATATACCCCACTAACAGTTGATATACACTAACAGTATGATCAACATCATGAGGACTATTTTCTTTAACCCCATTATCACCATTTATCAACCAAACTCGGTAGGAACTTGTTTGTTCGGGTGGAGTACTTTCATCTCCATTTCTGGATGGATTTGATTTTTTTTTTTTGTAGTAATGACAGTTGTACCACCAATTGGACTGCCATTACTTTCTCTAACATTTGCAGCACCACTTTGTGAAATATGATTCTTATTCTTTATGACATCTTCCATGTCCTCTGCCCCTTTAGGCCGAGAAGGAACCCCAAGCATCGGTTCCACGAAGGTTTTCCAAATCTTCACAACTTTATCTAACTGTTCAATCGTACAAACTTCACCACAGGAATATTTGACTAGCTGGTACAAGTCTTCATGGATGTCCGAATCAGGATATTCAAATTCCACATGTGGAATGATAGTTCTTCTATTTCTAACAAGCGTACCTAGCACGACATTAGCCTATATCTGGACTCCATTAAAGAGTTGGAACAGGAGGCCTGTGCTTATTACGAAGACATCCTCGTCTGACTTAGATTGTGGTGGTTTGCGGCTTAGATAGTGGTGGTCCGGCTCAGATCGCGGCATTCCGGCGACGGTGTGGTAGACATAGAGACGAAGGTGAAGCCGTCAGCGTCGAAGATGAAGACCGAGAGAGGAAAAAGAGCCGAGAGAGGATCGGAAAGAGAAAGAGAGAGAGAGAGAGAGTCAAATTTTTCTGAACTGATATAGGGGTATGGGTTTAGGGACCTTAAACATCAAAATATAATATTGTGGATCTCTTCTATTACTAAAAATGGAAAGGGACCTTAGACTAATTTTTTTCTTTTTCATATTCTTTTTATTGATTTTTTTACAAATATTTTACTTTTTAGATACATCTAAGTATGGTGTATTTAAAAAAGTTTTAAAAAATTAAATTTTAAAAATAGTCACTAAAAAAAAAGGAAAAAAAAAAACTTCAATTTCTAGAAAATTGAAATCAAACACAGTTAAGCTACCATTTCAATATAATTACACTCATCTCCATTTTAATATAGTAGACACACGTTGAAATGAATAAAGATAAATATATATTTTAATAAAAAATGGATTATAATATAATTTTTTTATTCATATAACGAATAAATTATTGATAATAAAAAAAATGATCTAGTTGTCATGTAAATTGAAACCTTAAAGAAAGTCAGTATAATTATGTTAAAAGTGTAAAATTAATTATATTTTTTTCAAATTTTAAAAAAAGTGATTGTAATTTCCGTAAAAAAAATTATTTTATCTTATTATGTTCTTCATAATTCTAAGCCTCCGTTTGGAAAGTGGGTTGGTTTTTTAGTTTTTGGGCTTTTTTGGCTATTTTAGCCTGGGGCTAAAAAACTTGGTTTGGGAAGGGTTTTTTGACTTTTTTGACTTTTTGGTGAGGTATCTTCATGATAAATTACCAAACTGCCCTTCACATGTGTTTTACATGTGAACTCATTTCTTCTAGTCCTCCACGTCAGATGCGTAATTGGACCGAAATTGTTTTGTTTTGTTTTGTTTTGTTTTTTTTTTCTTTTCTTTTAGGTTTGAATTTGGCGTATTTTGATGTTTTTTTTTGTTTTTTTAAAATTTTTTTTTGTCATTTTTTTTATACATTAATTAGTTCTTGTTCTTTAATTTACGTTTTTTTTTTGTATACAATAACTTTTTTTTATTTTTCAAAAATGAGTTTTCATGTGTTTTATTTATTTCTAAATTACGTCGCGAATGGTAATTTATAGTTTTATGTTTTTTTAAAAATATTTTTGAATGAGGCGTATTTTTCTCGTTTTTTTTTTAATTTACGTTTTTGTCAATTTTTAATTTGTACACATTAATTTGTTTTTATATTTCAAAAATGGGTTTTCATGTGTTTTATTTATTTGTAAATTACGTGGCAAATAGTAATTTATGTTTTTTTTTGGATGAGGCGTATTTTTGTCGTTCTTTTTTTTTTGAATTTACGTTTTTGTAATTTTTTAAAATTTGTATACATTAATTTGTTTTTAGTTTTCAGAAATGGTTTTTCATGTGTTTCCCTTATTTTTAAATTATGTGGCAACTAGTAATTCATGTTTTTTACTTTTATATTTTTTTATTTTTGACTTTGTTTTTAATTTGTTTGGTTTTTTTGGAAAAACGTTTCTTTATGTCATTTATTTAAAATGGTGTGAAAAATCATATATTGCCGTGGCAAATGACAAAAAATGAAGTCTGTCTTGGTTTTTTGAAATTTTGAACTAGTGTTTTTATGTTTTTAATTGACATCGCACATGATAATTTCTGTATTAGTTTTTTTTTTCTTATTTGTTTCACCTTGTTTTCTTTTTCGAAAAGGCTTTTTTCTGTGGCTTTTTGTTTTTCAAAGTTAGGCACGTCACCAACAGAAAGGGGGCATATTCCCGTGTAAACACATTCTACTTGTACCTGATAATATATTTGAATACAGTCTGTTCCACGTGTGTTACCAATGTTACAACCCTACAAAAATTAGGTTGACTATTATGTATTTCCTAACGTTCCGTTATTACGCATGTAACATAATTTGTCGCGTATGCAAAGGCGCACCAATGCCATATGCGGGTCCTTGTCCCCAACCATTAAACCATCCTCGTCATGTTCAACTTCTGGTATGGCATTTACTATTGTCATAGCCTCTTCTTCGTCACAGATTGGGTGAACAGTTGTTGGATTACCTGTGTTTCGAGTTGTTGGATTACCTGTGTTTCGCTGTATATAATTATGTAATGCCATTGACGCACCTACTAACTGAACTTGCACATTTGCAAAGTCACATTGAGGCATGTCTCGAATAAACCCCCATTGATTTTTCCAGGCACCGAAAGTGCGTTCCACCACATTATGTAACGACGAGTGAACTTTGTTAAATAATTCCCTTGGCGTGTTTGCTGTCGTGTTCCGTGGAATATGTCGGAATTCTTGTTGATGGTAACGGCTGCCTCTGAATGGTGCTAAGTAACCTATTCGATTTGGATAGCCAGAATAGACAAGATAATATTTGCCTACAGAAAGGACAACAATGTATGACACCAAAAACAAACATTGTGCTTCATTTTCAAGTAATGCTGTTTGACAAAAAATTATAGCCCCATCAATGCAGAATTCATGGCACTGTGTTACCTTTGTCAGGATGTGGAAATGGGACATTGTCATTTGTTAGTATCTTGTTGAAAATGCTACTATCATGCATACTTCCTTCCCATCCGTACGAAATAAAGATGAAACACATGTCAAAATCGCACACGGTCATGATATTTTGCGTGTGACAGTATTTCCTACCGAAATATGTTGCCGCATCTGGTCCAGTAACCCATGCACTTACATGTGTTCCGTCTATTGCTCCAATACAGTCCTGCAAACAACCCAATTGTAATGTTACTTAAATGGGTAACAAGTAATGGTTATTTTCATACGTCACGTCTAGTTAATAATAGAAACAAAATAACTGCACTTCGCACTTATATGTCAATAATGTTTTTCAGTAGTACCTTGAACGGTAGGCATTTCTGTCTAGACCGCACGTATGGATGTATACGATGCTGACTGTATGTGGGCCGGCAATGAACAACAGTGAACTCTTTCATGGAAGTTAATACATTATGCACGTGCCGAGACACAGTCTCCCCCAAATGTTGGAAATGTTCTTGGATTTGTCGATTTTGCATCCCTTGCAACACGTGGACAAACATTGCAACGCTTTCTTCAACAGTTAAGCCATGTGGCCGTTGCGGTACTTGTAACCCAAAATCATTTGCTAATGTCTCACACAAAGCGGCAAACACTTCCTTCGGCATGCAAAAATTTTCCTCAAATTGACCCATATGGCCCGCATATAGTTCGCATATCCATGCATGCCTGGTCAATATCGAAGTGCGGCATGGCGTTTTAGCCATGTGTTTTTCGTACCACTCTGTCGCATACTGGCATGCTTGTAGAAATGTCCAGTTGTACAGTCCTGCAAACAACCCAATTGTAATGTTACTTAAATGGGTAACAAGTAATGGTTATTTTCATACGTCACGTCTAGTTAATAATAGAAACAAAATAACTGCACTTCGCACTTATATGTCAATAATGTTTTTCAGTAGTACCTTGAACGGTAGGCATTTCTGTCTAGACCGTATGGATGTATACGATGTTGACTGTATGTGGGCCGGCAATGAACAACAGTGAACTCTTTCATGGAAGTTAATACGTTATGCACGTGCCGAGACACAGTCTCCCCCGAATGTTGGAAACGTTCTTGGATTTGTCGATTTTGCATCCCTTGCAACACGTGGACAAACATTGCAACGCTTTCTTCAACAGTTAAGCCATGTGGCCGTTGCGGTACTTGTAACCCAAAATCATTTGCTAATGTCTCACACAAAGCGGCAAACACTTCCTTCGGCATGCAAAAATTTTCCTCAAATTGACCCATATGGCCCGCATATAGTTCGCATATCCATGCATGCCTGGTCAATATCGAAGTGCGGCATGGCGTTTTAGCCATGTGTTTTTCGTACCACTCTGTCGCATACTGGCATGCTTGTAGAAATGTCCAATTGTTTTCTTGTTGCAATTGCACTGCCATTTGATTAAGCATTTCCCTTAATTCGTCATTGTTGCTGCCATCTCCCTTAATTCGTCATTGTTGCTGCCATCCCAAGGATTCATCACGTCTTCGTTGATGCGAATCCTACAAGAGTGGCACTGTTTCAATCAGTTTGCACGTGATTCATTGACTCAAATGTAATAACAGTTTGCATGTATGAATGCCACATGGTTTTTAATGTACGTAATGTCGTCACCAATGTCATTATTAACGCATCATGATATGAATTGAACAAATTGTGAACCTGGTTGTTATATTTTACAGGGGGACCATGGTGGTAACAACCACAAAAATGACGTCAAACTAACATAACAGTTTCCCTCGGAAAATAAAGACATACAAGAAAGAAACAAGAAAACTGTTGTTGCGCATTTCATTGCCATACATTTAATTAAAACAGAAGCATCCCATTCCTTTCCCAAAAAACGCACAACCATGCTTCCATTTTTTCGACGACAAACTTAACTAAAAGTTTTGTTCACCATAGCTAGCAAGAAAAAAAAACAACAAGAAAGGAATAAAAACATGCAAACACAACCATCATGTTTTAATACAGTGCCAACAATAAACATAAGTAAAAGTTTTCAAAAGCAAGAGAAGGGCAGGCATCTTCAACAATCGTAACACCCGTACATCACATCCGGTGAGCCCCAAATAGGTTCGCAAACGTCGCCGACGCAGTACAGTGGAGCTGCTTTTGTGTAAGCCACCGTATGATGTGGTCGTCATCAGGCTGGCACATCATCACCTCCTGATAATTTGCGTTATCCATAAGTGTCAAGGCGAAATGGAATAGCGGCGTACCAATCAGGGATGGAATACTCGTCAAGCGATGCATGCACTCCGAAATAGTGTACAGCGATTCGTTACCTGTGAGGTGCCTCGCCGTAACCTGTTGATTCTTCGTACGCACCACATCTGTTAGATTGTTTATGCTTTCCGCAATAACTGACGCTCCACTTGTTGCCTTCTTCGACTTTGAAACACTTGTTGATGGCGTCTTTCTCCTTTTTCCCTTTTCAATCGAAACATGCTCCAGTGAAGAATCTGAATCCACGTCCTGTACTCCTGCAAGTATCGGATCAGCAAATTGCTGGGCTCCCAAACTATGCACAGAATCAGATGAGTCATCAGCAGCTTCAAGAAGTTTCTTTCCCGGGGTCCAATGGTGCTTACCAGTAGCTAATGCCCCCATGAAGACCGTCTCCATCAAGTCACGATGTTTCAAGGTTTTTTTCCTGAACTTGGCACACATCTTGTTTATCTGCAGAAAGGGAGATATGTGAAAGATAAAGATGTTACATTTCATATAATTAATTAAAAGTAAACTAAAAAGGTTAAAAATTTACTGCTAACAGACAAATATGAAACTTGTTTGTACATGTACTTACCGTTTCCATCTTGTCCCACCACTCCTCAGGTGTCTGAAACATACCGATGTCACAGTCAAACCCTATCCCTGACACTCCTTTGCTTGAATCCATCAACTTTGTCCATGCTTGCCACTATTTTTTCAAACTCATGTATTTATTCTTCAACTGTTTGAGGCCATGTTTTCTTCTTTTTTTTTCTCAAATTTCCTTCCCAAGGACTTGTACCCTGCTTGGCTGAGGACTAGGAATGGTCGATTTCCTTTTGTAATCTTATTTGCAATCAACTGTAGGAAAACTCAGATTGAATGACTGTCCCATGAGGCCTTGTGGTTGAATTGATTATGTGTCTCTTCAAGACTGTTTGACTTCTCTGTGACAATGCCTTTGCTTTTGGATTGGGTACGCGGAGAAGTACATATGGAAGCCATTACTAATGTACGGTTACAAAAGATTACCATCACAAATTCGGTTATTATATACAAACGCATAAGCCATTTCACATTAAATTTACAAACAGAGAGATAGGATGCTAAATTAGACAGCATATAACCATTGCACATTAATAACATACATACACAGGTTCCATGGAACTCAGTAGTGGACATAGTTATGATAGTCATTAATACGTCTACCGTTTCGTAGTGGAGGAAGGCAAAGGCAGCTTAAAGTCATACTAAAGCATACTACCAACATACTAACAACCTCATAACGTGTTTGTACATACTGACAACATCCTAACATTGCTTACATACGGAACAACAAAATGACAACGACAATGCATAGCACATACACAATGGTCTTAAGGACACACAAGGATTGTTGAATGTCTATGACATCAGCTCGCAATTGCATGACAATTTCGTCTCTGGGTGACGCATAGTCTTGGTTCTCTCGCCTTGGTTCTTCGCACCAACCAATCCAACTGACACAGGGCTGATGAGTGCAAATGATGTAACTATTAGTGAATGGGTTGTTAATGTTCATACAGTTATGACCGGTAAAGAATGGGTCACTCACCACAGGGCGGGGATATGCAAAGTAGGGACGCCCTGGATTTTTGGTGGACCTGGAAATCTTAACAATACAGGGGCTATGTCCACAGGCACACATTTGTCGTGGCCATGTACTGGAAGTTGCAGTAGAGGTAAACGAAGCCATGCTATGCTTTACAAACATTCGGAAGTGACAATGAATCATCCAATTAATTAGTTTATGTTATCCATATATCAGGTTAAACATGAATTGAATATGTTATGCAGTAGTTTCATAGGATAGGTATAGAAACTGACAACTTCCTTCAGTTTATTTTAAAGCAAAACAGCCTACGTTATCATGGTTTCACTGTGAAGGTGGTAATAGAAAAGCAGATATGTAATTTCCTTTTCAAACCTAACAGATAAAAAAGGGCAACCTAACCGTGTGTTTACATGACTGACAAGAAGAATTCATGATCAAATTAAGTTAGAACATTGTAAATTATGAAGCCGTAATCAATAGACAATTCAATTAAATTTACATGAATCAACATGATAACGTACAAAGACTAACGTAGTCGTAATTTGATTCCATTAACGAAATTGAATTTTTGTAAAAGTATTTTGCATCTTTAATTTACGTATAGTGGTAGGAGTATTTATTAACCCATATGCACTTGCACAGATTTGATATATAACCATTAATGTTATTATCATTATTATTATTATTATTATTATTATTATTATTATTATTATTATTTTCAGTTGTTTTTTGAAATTTGAGAATAGTCTATTTATGTCAATAATTTAAAAGATTATGTTTGTATGCAGATGACTAAAATTGGACATACTTCTTTTAAAAAAATATATAAAATTAGTTTATATATACTTAGACTAGATCAACTAAAAAGGAGTTATAAGCAGTTACACTCCGATCCATTTCACACCCAGTTCAGAATGTCGCCAACCAAATGTTTGGTATCACACAGTAACATTAAATCAATTAGAATTGGTAATATTATGACGACTTTGATAATATAAGGGAAATATAGTAATAAACACTAGTACAATAATCAAGTTAACAGAAAAGAGGATACATGAATAACCAGAAAAAAGTGACCTTCAATAACACAAAAACAAATCAACTTTGGATTTCATAAAACATAAATTTGTAGACAAAAATCTGACATTTCTTTCTTCATTCAGCATTGACATATATGAATGAAGTTGAATAACCACAACTGAAAAATGAAAAATCAAGTTATGAATAATGAAGACAGAATGAAGACAGAATTAGATATTCATTTAGCATTGAGCATTGACATTCATTCAGCATCAGATATTCATTCAGAATTTGATATTCATTAAGCATTGAAGACAAAATGAAGACAAAATCAGATATCCATTATTCAGATATTAATTTATTTCTTCATTCAACAATTTTTTTTTTCTTTCTTCATTCATCATTAATAGTGTTTGAAGAAGTGAAGACAGAATCAGATATTCATTCACAGAACCCATTCAGATTTCAATGAAGAATCACAGAACTGAATGAAGACAGTAGAGGGTTTTATTCAGATTTAAATTTAATCAAGTTAACAGTGTTTGAAGAAGTGAAGTTGAATAACCACAACCCAAAAATGTGACATATATGAATATCAGGACAGTTTATTGGAAGAGAGATAGAGACATTCCCTTCAGCATTGATAATGTCTCAATAGGTATTTCACAGATAATAAATCAATAGGTATTTCATAGATGGAGACATCCTCTTCAGCATTGAGTAAAAAATCACAGAACCCATTCATTCACAGAGTCAGATTTCCTTATTCATTCATAGACTCAGATTTCATGACAAATCAATAGGTATTTAACAGAATCAGATATTCATTCACAGAATCAGATTTCATTAAGCATTTGTATACATCAATTTGAACTTGTTTGGCTTATTTTTTTTTCATTTTTAATGAGAATTATAAGAAAAAAAAATCAAAAGAAGAACAGACTATTTAAGAATCTCAACAGATGTAAATTAGAACAACAGATGTATAAGAAGAGGTTGTTAAGGTTCTTTTGGTGTATCTATATTTTAATTTTTACCATGGGTTCATCTATATATATATATATATATCAATTTGAACTTGTTTGGCTTATTTTTTTCATTTTTAATGAGAATTATAAGAAAAAAAAAATCAAAAGAAGAACAGACTATTTAAGAATCTCAACAGATGTAAATTAGAACAACAGATGTATAAGAAGAGGTTGTTAAGGTTCTTTTGGTGTATCTATATTTTAATTTTTACCATGGGTTCATCTATATATATATATACATACATATATCTAAGAACAGATTTACATATATCTGCCCTCATTACGAACATATTTACAGATTTATATATAACAATGGCTATATATAAGAACAGATATATATATATATATGTATATATATATCTGCCCAAAATATGTGAACCCAAGCACCACGGCAAACAAGCAGCTCGGTAATGAACCCAATTTGTAATGAACCCAAAATGTGTCAAGAGTATTTAACCGTAATGAACCCACACGATAAGCCAAAAATAGAGTCGGCCATTCCTTTGAAATTTGGAAAAAAAATTTCTTTAACAGAGAAAGGGATTCCACACATGAACCCTAAGCAGATCGGAAGTAGGGGCCACACACACACGAATAGGGAAATGAAATCAGAAGGGTTTGAAAGAATTACCTGAAGATCGGTGGTGTTTGAGAGGGTTTGTTCTTGCTCGCTGCCGCTAACGTACGCCCCAACCGTTCGATTTGCCGACCTGTTAGTGAGTCTTCTTCGACGCCGCAGATGCGTAGTCCGCTGCTGATCGCCTCTGCGAAGCTACCTCAGATGTCGTCGCCGCCGGTATACATTAACCGCCTCCTTCGCTTGTTGTGTGCCCTAGGAAGGTTGTGTGTGTGGTGAGGCGTTGGGCCTCAGAATGAGAGGGAACATTCAAGGTATTTTGGTAAATTTACCCCAAAAAGGGTTTCAACCCAACCCGTTCAAACAGTTTTGTCTTCATGTGGCTAAATAAGCCTTTTTTGTCTGGACGTGGCTAATTTAGCCTCAACTTTCCTTCCCAAACACATCTCATCCTTAACATTCAATGTTTTCTTTACACCTCTAGTCTCATCTATTCCACCATCACCACCACTGCCAATTGCTATAGCCTCCTCTACCATGATAGACCCTTTCTCAACCTTTACCACTGTCAACCAACCACTTTATAACTTCACCATTGCATGTGACAGAAAGAAATAGATTTACAGTATTCAAATTCAGAATCTAAAAATAAAAAATAAAAAAATAAAAGAAAGAAAGAAAAAGAGAAAAGAAACAACAAAAAAAAAAGTGGCGAATAATGATGCTGTGTAAATAAGTGAAGGGTGGTGAAGAGAAATGTGAAAGAATGGGGCTTTTCCCAAATTAAGCCAAATTAGCAACCTATTTCCTAAACTAGGCCTAGTTTGGACGGAATTTCCAAACTAGGCTAAAGCGCTATTACAAACCACGTTTTCACTGTTTCCAGGCCTCTTCCGCGGAAAATTTGTGAAATAGTAAAAACGTGGTGACAAACCATGTTTTTAATTAAGAATACGTAGTTACAAACCACGCTTTTACGTTAATCATAAAACGTGGTTTCAAACCACGCTTTTAAGTAATATATATATATATATATTTTTTTTTTTCTCTTCTTCCTGATCGGATTCAACCGGCTGACGGTGGTAAAGCGGAGGGAGAAGTCGGAGGAGAAGGAGTTAAGGAAGATGTCGTAGAGGATGGTGGAGAGGAGGGTGGAGGAGCAGAGAAGAGAGAGAGAAGAGAGACAAATTTCTCTGATATATGTTTAAGGACCTTAGACATCAGAAAATAATTTTGTGGATCTCTTCCATTATGAAAAGTGGGAGAGGGACCCTACACTAATTTTCCCTATTAACTATATGTAATAATAATTTATAATAACAAATAATAATCAACTATATAAAATGATTACTTTTTTATTTTAATTCTTAATTTTTTTTTTTATTTTACTGTTTAGGGGTAAAATTTATTTTTTTTATTTTAGGGTTTAAGGTTTAATTCATAAATTTTTTTTTTTATTTTAGGATTTAGGATTTATAAAAAAAAATAAATTTTAAGAATTAAACTATAAATTCTAAACCCTAAATCCTAAACCCTAAAATAAAAATAAAGAAATTTTAAGAATTAAACCCTAAACCCTAAAATAAAAAAATAAAAAATTTATCCCTAAATACTAAGGTAGCGTTTGATAACATTTACGTTTTTGGTTTATGTTTATAAAAATTTTATAAACTGGTTTATGTTTATTTTTAGAAAAACATAAATTACAAAAGTATTTGGTTTGAACAAAATGTTTAAATAAATTTTAAAACATAAACTAAAAAATATGTTTATTTAAGCCTAAAATATTTATATTTATATTTATTATTTATGACAATGGGATCACACATATTATAATGGAAAAAAAATTAATTAATAAAATATTTGAAAAAAATTTAATTGGAAAAAACGTGGTTTGTAAAAATTATTGAAAAAAAAAGTTGTTTATATTTATTATTTATGACAATGGGATCACGTATATTATAATTGAAAAAAAATTAATTAAAAAAATAAAATACAAAAAAAAAATACAAAAATTCAATACATTTTTCATATTTTTTCATATTTATTAATTTTTTAAAATATTTTATTATTTAAATATATCTAGGTAAGGTGCATATAAAAAGTAAAAAAATTACTCAAAATTTTAAAAATATTCACTAATAAAAACAAAAAAACACTAAAAATAAAAAACTAAATTTTCAAAAAACTGAATTTAAAAAACTGAAATCAAAAGAATTGAATAATACAATGACTGTTTACTGTGAATAATCAACCTCCATTTGGATGTTTCCTTTAAAATTGCGTGAGCTCATTCACTTTTTTGGTAAATCATGGTAATGCAAATATTAATCATATTCAATTATGTTAATTGGACAAAAATAGTCCCATAAAAAATAATGTTTCTAAAACTTAAAAATGACCGCATAAACAGAAACATGGTAAATCTCCTCCAAAGCAACATTGAGAATCCAAAAGTTGGATTAAGTTCTATTAATTTAAAGGAGCCACTAAATCACTTGCTCTAACATTCTCAAACATGGATTTTTTTTTTTCTCCTCCCTATTCCACCTTGAATAAGGCGAGGATAAAGTTACAGTCAAGTCCTACACAACAAAAAAGTCCTCATCTATATTCCACTGGCAAACTGAAACCGGACATAACTATTTTATCAGCAAACATCTTGCCAGTTTTGGGCATGACATGCCAGTGCAAAGTCAAGTTGAATTTTTTTCCTTGGAGATTGCTTCCCTGCACAAGGAAAAAAGAGGATATAAAGCCCAACCAACCACACAGAACAAGGGGTCAAATATCCATCGGCAACGGGGAGAATTCATCACCAAAGAAGCTTACCTGATCAGTGAAACGATACTTGTTTGTTGTATGAATCGAGAATTTTGCATGCTCTTTCGAAGGTATAATACCATCCCACAGGGACACCTGCCACAAGACAATACTTTAGATCAATCAGAAAGTTCATATGCATTGGGAATCTGAGAAATAAAGCACAGTTATCATTACATGCCTCTCAATGTTTAACATATATACATTTAAGTGGTAGTAATTGATCCTCTAAGTTGACATTATATTAGAGGTTTAATAAAAAATGGAAAAAGAATCGGAAAAGAGTAAGAACATCAGATCCCCCAACAGCATGGTAAAAGTAAAACAACAAAAATCGGACATGATAGACTAGCAACCCAGTTAGTAGTTTAGTTTGGATACTGCCGTTACCATCACTCAACTTCTCAACCACAACAGGAAAATTGATTTTTAGCGGCGTTTTTGAAACGCCGCTATAAGTCTCAAAAACGCCGTCATAAGTTACAACGACGTTTAATATTTTCGTCCCTGATATGACCGCTGTAATAGCTTTACAACGTTTTAAAAAAAAAGTAAAACAACAAAAATCGGACATGATAGACTAGCAACCCAGCTAGCAGTTTAGTTTGGATACTGCCGGTACCATCACTCAACTTCTCAACCACAACAGGAAAATTGATTTTTAGCGGCGTTTTTGAAACGCCGCTATAAGTCTCAAAAACGCCGTCATAAGTTACAACGACGTTTAATATTTTCGTCCTTGATACGACCGCTGTAATAGCTTTACAACGTTTTAAAAACGTTGCTAAAAAAATCAAGCGGCGTTTTAAAAAACGTTGCAAAAACATTGACGTCTGCTAGCTTTCCGTCTCATGACATCATGATGACGTCATCTAGTGGCGTTTTTTCAAAAACGCCACTTTTTTCTCTTTTTTTTTTATTTTTTTATTTGGGGGGGGGGATTCTAAATCTAGCACAACACAGCTAAATAATGTAACTAAAATATAGCATAACGCACCAAATAATTTAACTAAAATATAGCATAACACAACCAAAATATGACATAACATTGGGCCAAAGAATTTAACTAAGAAAAAAGCTTGAGAATTTAACTACCTATATACAAGAGCAATAGTATGTACAATTTGTGATTTGGTAAAAAAAAATCACTAAAAATTCAATTTCAAACCACACTCTTGAAATTGCTCTCACCAAAAATTAAAAGAACCAAGAAATCAAAGAAAATAACAAGGTTTGAGGCTCTGGGAGCACAAAGTGAAATGCACAAAAAGAAGGAAATGGAAAAGAGAAATGAAGTAGAAGCTAAATGGAAAAAAGAAATTTGTACAACCCTGCGGCTTCCAACACGGGCCGTTCGAAGAAGACCTACATTTTCTCTGGTTTTTTTCAAAATAAAATTGTTAGCATCCATTTCCAACCAGAACAGTGTTCAAGAGCAAAGGATTGAATAGAACAGTCTTTGTCAGTACTTACACAGAAACTGTAGATCCTGTAATTGTCCCAAAACGTCCATTGAAAAGGATCCCAGTTCCCTACATGATGAAGTTCTGTGTCAATATATTGCAACATGAATTACGAGTTAATTATTTTTCTTTTTACCAAACACCAAATTATTTTTTATTTTTTATTTCACCAAATTTCAAGATTTGGGTAGTTTGTAGACCTGCCAACCAATACCACGGCTAAGAACACGAGCAGGAGGTGGAGTGGCACTTGCTAGACGAGATGCAGCCTTAAACGCTCCAGTTGACTGTCAATATGAATATTTGTGTTAATCACTGATAAAAATATACTTGATTGATTTTTTTGTGTAAAAAATTACCTCAATCATGGAGACTAATACAACAGCCATCATCCCAAAAGGATGACCTGAGCTAAAAAGAGGTGCGCCCCATTGTAGTGGGTATGGGATTTTTATCCTGCATAGTAATAAAATTCAAAGAACAATAGAACATTAAAATTTTCAATCCACTAAATTATTCTATACTTTTAATTCTTAGTCTTGAAACAATGATAAAGGTGTATATGAGCAAAATATTGTTACCTACCATGGTGCATGAATCCATAGATGTCGAGAGAGGGAAGCGGATATGGCATAGAGACAGCCAACTGAAGTCCAAAACTAGTTTTCAGCAAAATTGATAAAAACCCAATTTCAACATGATATAAGTTTGTTCCAATTAGTACCTGAACAGATTGATTGTTTGCTAGGCAACAAAAACACAAACAACTTGGAAATTATAATAAGCTAACTGATGTAGAACAAGTAGCCGAAGACTTCTTGGAACAATTGGACCGACAAAAGGCAAGAAAGATGTAGAACAAAATTCTATAATTTTTATATTTCTTAATTTTATTATTTAGAATTAGGTTTTTGACTAGGATTTTAAATAGTTTAGAATTTTTAGTCTCTTAGGTTTCCTAGTTCTCTTAAGTTTCTTAATTTGTATTGATTTAAGTTTCCTAGTTTATTTTGGAATCACTTTTTTTACAAGTATTTGGTTTAGTTTATTATAAATAAGCCTACAAGCATATGTAACTTTATTCATTCATTCAATATTATTTTAAAGAGCTTTTCTTCTATCTTCCTTGTGGATTTAAGGGTGTTCTTGCGGATTCAAGAATTCTCGTCTACTAGAACGATATCTAGTCTCGTGTGATTTGTTCCGCCATGTCACTAACTTGGACATGAATAACTCCTTACTTCGTGGGGGTCAACGCTAGTGCTAGGCCCATCGATGTATTTGAGGGAACAAAGCCTTGACACTCTCATTGATGAGATCCTGGAAAAAATGTATGCACTCCTCATCGTCCAAGTCCAATCGAAACTTCTCTTGAAGCTATAAGGATATAATCACAAACATGGTCATACAAAAATAAACAATTATATTCTTTAAATAAACAAGTAATGCCCTTTTCAAGATCAGAAGCTTATAATACTTCGGTGCTCTGAGAGTGTCTGGAAATCAAAAGGATTAACCTCTATTCAACCCATTGCAACATGGTATTTGTGACAATCCACAACAAAGCTAAAACTACACCCACTTTAATCATCAAATATTGTCGGAAATCACACACACTGTGATCAGACACTGCAATTTAACCCATCTGGTGGCACATGCAATTATATAGGTGAATTAGTTACAAAACATCCTCAACAGATATACATCATACAAAAAATTTAGAACCCATAAACCTTTCATTTTTAATACAACTAATACTCCTCAAAGTAATCAATATTCCTCGTAATATAAATTTATAATAGAAATGGAATGCCAAAAAGTATTCTATTAGCATGACTTTTCTCTCAAAGCCATTTTCCTAATGAACTAGAAACGCACTAGACATAGTTGCACAAAAAAGTAATTTGCACAGATGTGAGTAGGCCTTCAGGGATGAGCAACTTAATACTTCAAGCAAAGGAAAAAAAACCATGTCATCCTTGAAATTGAAAGTATGATTCCATTAGACCAGGGTACTTGAAACTCAAAATTTCAATTTTTTGAGAAGCTAAATAACAATAATCAATGTTAAGAAGAACTAAATGCATGTCAACCGAATTAGGCATTGAATCTGTTAATATAAAGGTGATAATGATGATGCTTTACAACTCAATTATCAATGAGAACTATGCAAACTGTAACTATAAGTTGTTATGCAACTATAAGTTGTTGCTCACTTGCACTACAACCGAAGCATCTCATACCTGTGCTAAAGAACTAGATGGTATAAATTCCAACATGCCTTCATCATGTCCAGTTGCTAGGACCTGTATGGAGTCAAATGCAGATCAAGTGATCCATAAACAATACCATTTGAATAACCTACAGCGACCACAATCAATATATCAAATCTACTGATCACCCTCCTTCCACCTCCACCTCTCCCATGCATGTTTTTCAGTGAGAGACAGAGAAGGGGAGAAAGAAAAGACGTACATCTATTGAACAGACTACTTAATCTACCAACTGGTCTTGCCAAAGATCATCCCCTCTCTTGAATATGATTTTGCAACTTCCCCCATTTGCACTTTATCTAGTAATAAAATATAGTAGCCCTCTTACCTAATCATGTGTAAATCACCAATTAGTGTACTTATAGGAAAAAAGATACAAAACACAGAGGAAGAAGAACCATTCCTGTTATTCTCCTTATCCATCTCTCAGCAAACAAAACCAGAGACACTCACATGCAATCATAATCTAGTTAATCAAAATGCCAAAGAATTTTAACTTGAAAATGTTATCCAATTTTCTCCTCTAAAATTATATATATGCCCTCTTAAATAAATCTCAATTCTAAATTATTGACCATATGAAGGAGGCAAAACTAAGTTAAAAATCAATAACTAAGATGAGCTCTTTAACTTTAACCCAATCTGCTAACAGAAACAGATTATACAAGTTGTGTGTATAATTCAGCAAAACATCAGTAAATTTGATACCAAAATTGCATGACAGACAACAAAAACCCATTCCCTCCTTCAAAAGTGTAGTTCTCATCATTTGATTAGGATATGACAACCATCTCACCTGAAGCATGGCGAAAGTACCTGTTGGATAAATCATGTTGTAAGACCAAAAATATTGGCAGAAATTGAGTTTAATGAATCAAGGATTGATATAAATTAACATGAAACTGTTAAATAGAGAATTCTAGAGCAATTTAAGAACGAAACTCACATGAGAGATTTGATATATCATTGATCATTCAAAATGTTGAAATTAACATACACCTATGACCTATGAGTAAGCTAGCCAATATATATATATATTTTTCCTCTTGGTTGGGCAGAATCAGCTGGTAATATATTAGATCAAAATAGAATTTCATAAAAATATTCTAATTGACAAATTAGTAAGACTAAGAATATTGGCACAAATTGAGTTTAATGAATCAAGGATTTGATATAAATTAACATGAAACTGTGCAATGGAGAATTTTAGAGTGATTTAAGAATTAAACTCACATGGGAATTTGTCATCATCATTGATCATTCAAAATGCTCAAATTAATGTACACCTATGAGTAAGCTAACCAACTAAAGGCAACTTCTCCAAAATTTACGTATACATTTTTTTTTTCTTGGCTGGGCATATTAGGCCAATATATAGGAAAATAGAATTTTATTCAGAGATTTTAACTCACAAAATTGTTTTCTCTATGACATGCTAGGTATAAGAAATTATAAATATTAGAATTATGAAATTGGGGGTACTTGTTTTCCACGCAATCCCCAACTCCGGCCTTCACTGTCACACTAGGCCCTTTACTGTTTCTTTCAATGTTGTCTGACGC